GACCCTGATGAGAACCGTATGAACCATGGCTGGATGATGCACCCCGGTGAACTGGATGACCCTCATGAGCGTGTCTATAAGGATGACCCCTGTTGTGGTAGGACTGTCCTCCAGAAGGTACCCCACCAGAACTGCTCGAACCTCGAGGCCTCTTGGCCTCTCTCTCAACATGCTCCTGGCTACAAACTGTCTCTATCTGCCGAGCAATGTCAACCACCTCTTCAAAGGTGGCACCAGACACCCTTTCCCTAGTCATAAGTAACCACAGCTGATATGTGAGGCCATCAATGAACCTCCTAATCCTTTCCCTATCAGTGGGAACCAACCAAACTGCGTGACGAGCCAACTTAGAAAATCTCATCTCGTACTGCATCACAAACATATCATCTTGACGTAACTGCTAAAACTGCCAGCGCAGTTCCTCTCTGCGAGAATGCGGCACAAACTTCTCCAAAAAGATAACAGAGAACTCCTGCCATGTAAGTGGTACTGCACCAATTGGCATGCGCCTCTCATTAGCCTCCTACCAACTGAAAGCAGTTACAGAAAACTGAAAATTGGTGAACGAGACCCCACTAGTCTCCAAAATACCCATTGTACGGAGAATCTTCTGACACATATCCAAGAATCCCCGGGCATCCTCGGACTCTACCCCACTGAAAGATGGAGGTCGTAGTCTCCCAAACCTTTCTAGTCTATTCTGATCATCCTCAGTCATAATGGGAACTACTGGGGCCTAAGAAGCTACAGCCGGCTGGGCTGGTAGTGCCCCCGGTATTTGAAGTCCCTACACTACCTGATATGGAGTACAGCCAATAGGGGTATGAGTACCTCTACCAGCCTGAGAAGTGGCAAGTGCGGCCTGAGAAGTGGCTGGTGTGGCCTGAGTCGAAACCACCCGAGCAAGACCAGTGCAAACTGTCAATATCTGGGCCAAAGTCTCCTGAAGACATGGAGTCACAATGGGCACAATTGGTGCCTGAGCTGGTCCCGTCGACTCAACTGCATTTGGAATATGCTCCTGAGTTGGAGAAACTAGTAGTACTATAGGTGCTGCACCAACTACTGCACGAGCTATACCTCGACCTCTACCTCGGACCCGGCCTCTACCACGACCTCGGCCTCTCGCGACCCTAACTGGTGGAACTAGTGGCTGACCATCCGATACGATAGTACGTGTCCTCACCATCTATGAGAGAATAGAATAACAAAATTTTAATTTCGAGAATCAACAAATTCGCACTGCAGAATACAAGAAAGTGAAATTTTCCTAAGGGTTCGGCAGCCTCTCTAAGATAAGTACAGACGTCTCTGTACCGATCCGCAAGACTCTACAAAATCTGCTCATGACTCGTGAGACCTATGTAACTTAGAGCTCTAATACCAACTTGTCACGACCCAAAATCTCATCTATCGTGATGGCGCCTATCTCAATACTAGGCAAGCCGACAATCTCAATAAGCCACCATATCTTTTAAGTTTGAAAACATAATATTTAAATTCAGCGGAAGGAATCTCATAATTACATATATAAACACTCCCAAAACTCGGTGTCACTGAGTACATGAACATCTAATATAAATATAAAGTTTGATTGACAAAACACTATCTAAAAGTATAGAACAGTACAATAACTGAAAGAAAGGGAGTCAAGGTCAGCGGACTCCAGGCAGCTACCTTGATAGTCTCCAACTGATAGAACTCTGAGATCTAATGGTCGTCGTGTCCGAAAGCACCTGGATCTGCACACGAGGTGCAAAGTGTAGTATGAGTAAAACCAACTCAATAAGTAATAAGACTAACCTTTGGGCTGAAATTAGTGACAAGCTCCGTAGGTACAGTCCAGTACAAATAATAACAATACAGAAATGTAGGCATGCTTTCAAGTTCAATAGTTGCTTTCAGTACAAATAAAACGGATCAATTCTGAACAATACGAGGAATATGACATCTCTGTATCTACATGCCAATGTACATACTGTATGTGATGCACCTTAGTGAAAACTCCATGTACTCACAATCTAAAATACTTAATCACTCAGTACTGTATATGGCCAATCCACTCCAGGGAAGATCCATGTCCAAGAAAAATTCATCCCTCAATATAAATTCTTCGGGCAAGATCCATGCCCCGGGAAGATCCAGCCCTTAATATAAATGCCCTGGGAAGATCCAGCCCTTAATATAAAGGCTTCTGGCAAGATCCATGCCCAGGGAAGATCCATCCCTCAATATAAATCAACCGCGTTCACTGGGTATGTGTGCAGACTCTGGAAGGGCTCCTTCAGCCCAAGCGCTATAAATCAACATCGCTCACTGGAGGTGTGTGCAGAGTTTGGAGGGGCTCCTTCAGCCCAAGCATTGTNTATAGCAAATATGGCCTGCTATGACGCGTAACTCAATCCCATAAATATCCTCACAATTAGGCCATCAGCCTCACTCAGTCATCAATCTCTCCAGTCTCTTGGGCTCAAAATATCATGTAAATCAGCCTAAAATGATCATATAATGTATCAATAAATAACAACATAGACTGAGATATAATATGAAATGAATGAACATGACTGAGTATGGAATTACAAGTTAAAACAATCAATTCAACAACAACTCGACCCCATGGGTCCTAAAATATCGGCACGTAGCCTAAACATGATCTTTAATAGGAGCCTCAACTACATTTCTCTAACACGTGGAGGATACATGGATAATAACATGATTCTGTAATTTTTCAACTCCACAGAATTTATTCCAAGTCATAATTTCTATGGTGCACGTCCACACTCTCGTTAACTATCGTGTGCGTCACCTCCAAGAAATTTATATAACACCAAATTCGGGGATCCATACCCTCACAATCAAATTTAGAAGTGTTACTTACCTCAATCCGAGTAAAACTCTACTCAAAAATGCCTTTGCCTCTCAAATCGGTCTCCAAACATCCCGAATCTAGCCACAAGCAGTACAATACAATCAATATAGGCTAGAGGAATCAATTCCACAAGAAAATATAAAATTATAGCCAAAAATCCAAAATTGGCTCAAACCCGGAAAGCCCATTCACTCACGAGTCTAACCATACATAATTTACTCAAATTTGATAACAAAATCTCATTCAAAACCTCAAAATTCTAGCACAAGAACTTTTCCTCATTTTCCCCAAATTTCCATCTCAAAACACTAATTAAATGATGAAAACAATGATATATTCGTGTATATTAATCAAATCCGAGTTAGAATCCCTTACCCCGATGTTTTTCCTTGAGAATCTCTCAAATATCGCCTCTCCCCAAGCTCCAATTTGTCAAAAATGGAAAATGGGACGAAACCTCTATTTTTATAGCTTAAAGTTTCTGTCCAGGTGTGGCCTCGATTTTCATGACCTCGATATTCATTACCTCAATTTTTATGATCTCGATTTCCTGACCTTGATTTTCATGGCCTCGATTTTTATGACCTCGATTTTGTCCAGCCTCGATTTTTCCAGCAGAAAAATTCCAACAGTTGTTTAACCAAATACACTAACAAGTAAATGTTAGTGCTAGTTCATGCGAGTTCTTATTTTTTTACATGCTTGCTAGTAAATGAAGTTGTTCATGCCTCAATAGGATTTGTAAGGTAAGATCTAACACAGTAAGTGTGTGCTATATTCCTATGCCTTTGGGAAGATCCAAGCGGCTATGAGATTATATGCCCTCGTGAGACTTTTGCCGGCAACTACACCATGATCCTCTACATGAGGCTGTCATTAGGCAATGGAGGCGCAGATGAGTGATTATATAGCCAAGGCATAGAGGCAACACTACCGTAGCTAGCCCCCTTATTTTGTACTTTTCCGTTGTGGCTTCCTTTTTTCTTTTTATTAATAAAATCACTAATAGGCATGCCTAGTAGTATATTTGCCTAAAAACAAAAATACACTAACAAGTACTAAAATATCATACGAACTTAGTTGAAACCTCAAATCCCATAAATCAACGCTAAAACCATGAACCATACCCCAATTCAAGCTTAAGGAACTTAAGAATTTCCAACTTCTACATTCGATGACGAAACCTAGCAAATCAATTCTGTGGCCTCAAATTTTGCACACAAGTCATAAAAGACATAAAAGATCTATGAAAATTTTCAGAACTGGACCCCGATATCTAAAAGTCAACTCTCCGGTCAAACTTCCCAAAAATTTAACTTTTTTCATTTCAAGTCAAATTCTACTACGGACTTTAAAAAATATTTCCGGACACGCTCCTAAGTTCAGAATTACCATACGAAGCTATTGAAATCATCAAAACTCTATTCCGGGGTCGTTTACATATAAGATGACATCCGGTCACTATTTCAACTTAATTTTAAACCTTCGAACTAAGTGTTCCAATTGATTCCTAAAACTTCACCGGACCCAAATTAATCACCCCGGCAAGTCACACAATAATTGTAAAGCACAAATTGAGCAGTAAATGGGGAAACAGAGTTGTAATACTCAAAATGACCGACTAAGTCGTTACACCTTTATTAAAAGCTTTTTGCAACGCATTTTAGGTAACACTCATAAAACGTGCTCTTTATGTACAAAGACTACACACTATATGCATTGCTTAGTAGACGTTTGGACATAAGAATTGTAAAATTCGGAAAAATGGTGAAATTTTTTTTCAAGTGAAAATGATATTTGAAATTTAGAGTTGTGTTTGGACATAAATTTCAGTTTGGGTTGTTTTTGAAGTTTTGTGAGTGATTTGTGTAAATTTTTTGAAAAAGCAGCTTTTTGCAGTTTTTCAAAATGTATCTTCAAGTGAAAATTAAAAATTTTATGAAAAACGCTGATTTCGAAAAAAGTTAGAATTTTTTTTGAAAAAATCTTTAACCAAATTTTATGTCCAAACGGGCCCTTAATGTAAAATCTTTTGAGAAGGCTTATCTACGTATGAAGCTACACTTTACTAGCATTACTTTTGGTATATTTAAATGCAACACTGTCCAAACGTGGTCTAAAAGTTTTAGGAAATTCATACAAAACTTTCCCACTTAAACTATTCCCCCTAAAATTTTCCATAGCTTCCCCCTCACTCTAGGTCTAGGGCTTGAAACCCACGAAGAAAACTTTTTCTGCACTCGATTTTTCAAAAGATGGGATTGTCGATGGCACGTAGTCGGCGACGATCTTCAGAAGAAGATCTGATTTACTTCACTCAGCTTCTCCAGACAACAAGAAAGGTTCGGTATTCGAGTTTTATCGATTTTGTTGAAACCAATAGAGAATTTGTTCAAGTCAGTACTCGATTTATCTAGGCATTTACTACTTTTATTTGGTACTTGCATTTAATTGAAGAAATTCTATTATTTAAATTTGCTTCTGAATGTAGAGTAAATGAATTTTTCACGGAATACTGTGCCTTTCTTCTTAATTTGGGGAAAACATGGGTTAGACGACTTGTAGATCTTTTAATGTATCTGTGTATGGATAGATTTGTTGTGGGTTTCGCATAAGAGGTTTGAAATCGTTCTATTAGAATTTTTTATACCGCTTTATTGTCTAACATATTCACCTACATTTTAATATTTTTATATTTTTGAAAATGCATTTGTTTATATTTCTTTAATTTTCTTTTGCTTGTTCTAGATAATGAAGGAAGAGTTGGGGATTGCCGAGGATATTTGAAATGTCCACTTAAATGATAAAGTATTGTGAAACTCACGAATTTAGCTAAACCACATTTCTTTAGTGGAACTCAACTTGATTGACTTGAATAGAACTAAAAGCTTCTGTTTTTCATTGAAGAACTCGAATATTTCAAGACTACACAAGTCCGTTTAGAATTTATGTTATAGATGAGTTTACAAATCTAACGGAGAAACAATTCTGGTGGCATGAACCTGAAGCTTTAAACCAGTTTTGATTGTTTTATTTTTTTATAGGCCATGGTCTGACCAAGAAGTACAGAGATCTTCAGACACATAAGCATGCCATCCAGGTATAAAAATTAAACATACTTGTTGGGTTGATTTGATAACTGATCAATTAACTACTTTGTGTTTTTACAATTCTCAAGAAAAGAAAGAGAAACTACATTATGTTAGTATTATAGATGATTAATCTCTTTGTCTTGTTGTTCTCATATAAGTTATTTTAGTTCATTTGTTTGCACCATTTCCTTTGCCTTTAGTAGTCTTGCTTTGCTTTGTTGTGTCACGCTTTGACTAGTTCAGTATCTCGTAATAATTTTTATTATTTTGTCCCTATTTAATAGCATTTTAAGAGAAGGTAAAACATACATTTAACTTTGTGGTCTAATAGTAGTGTGTTTCTTCCACTCCACTATGTCATTAATTGTTATCTTAATTTGTGAGGGACATGATGAAAAATAGTTTTGTCACTCTTTGGGTTCTTTTTCCATTTATCATTTTCTGTTTATTTCAATCATGTTAAGGTCTTTATAACTCTTTATTTATCATGTTCTGTTTAACTTTGTGGTCTAAGAGTAGTGTGTTTCAATCATGCTTGATGCTTTTTGAGGAAGTTTTCTCAATTAAATATCCCTTTGACTGTTAAGGTCATGGCAATAGACTGTCTGCTGATAATAAATGTGCAGAACTACTTAAAACACAGAACGGTTGATGCCATTGACACTCGATCCTGGGTGCTTCATTTTAATGATCATATTGTCTCTTTTGTTGACCAAATTTTTGATCTTTTAGTAATCCTCTTCAGCTGAAATGCAGTCATCGTTCAGTATGCTACTTGTTTCATTTAAAAATTTTAGATCTTGTTCCAGAGAAACGTTGACAGCATGCACAAGACATTCACAGTGCTGGTGTAATTTGTGGACTGATCTGGTGCAATATAGCTCCTTATCCTGGTGCATAAAAGGGATTGATCTGGTGCAATTTAGCTTGCTATTTTGGTGCGAAGATCGATCTTCAAACTGGTATATCTTGTCGAGTAAGTGTGGTGCACTTTGAGATGCATAGCTGGTGTAAAGTTCAGTCTACAAATTGGATCATTTGGGCATCTATGGGTACATTTAATATTTCTCTCTTTTTTCTATTTCTCCATAAACAAAGGAATGCATCCAATAATGTTTCTAACTAAACATTTGACATTATTTCTTTCTTTTATAAGTTTTTTGTGGGACAGAAGCAATTTATGTTTGACTAATCACTCTGAAAAACACTTTTGAATAATAATTTATTTTTGGCCAAACTTTTCAGAAATTGCTTTTAAGTATCAAATTACAAATAAGGACATGAATATATTTACTTAATAGTTAATATTATAAGTAAATAAATAATCTCAAAAATTTGTTATTATAGGCAATAATTAAATCTTTTCATTTTATTTAAGTAAAATATGAAAATAAAATTTAAAAGTACTTAATTCTTTTAATGTAAGTTGAATATATTAAAAATCATTCAATAAATATAAAATCATTCACCCTTAAAGTCACTATATATTAGAAAGTTATCCTAAAAATAATAAGAAATATGTATACATTAATATCCTAAGTATTAGGTTTAACGGTTATTTTGGTATATACTATATTTTGTTAAGGGTATTCTTGGTAAGAAGAAAAGTCAAAACTGCTTCTGCTTCTCAGAAACTTCTTTTGCTTCTTCCCAAAAACATTTTTTTCTCCCAAAAAAGCTTGGCCAAACATGCTATTAAGGTCCAGAAACATTTAGAAGTTTCAGCTGGTTTGAACAAGAAAATCTTACATGTAGCTTAAATTAATGTGGAGGTCAAGCTTACAAAAACGTATCACTTGCAAAATCAGGAGATGATGTGAATGGACTTAAACCGGCCATGTATCAGATAAGTTACATGTAGCTAAGGGGATAGCAAATGAGGTTTCTAATAGATGCTAGCTTTAGCCGATTGATGTGTTTAAAATATTATCATGATACATATATTCATTTTTTTAAAGTTCATTGTTAGGACGCACCTTTAAACAATTTGTTGTATTTTAGAAATATGGTACACGAAATATATGTATATATATTGGAAGTTGATAGCAAGCGTACCCATGAATATTTTTTGGTTATTTATTATTTAATGCGGTGTTAGAGATCTTTATACTTTAAAAATGATCACAAAATATATGATAATATTATATATGTTTGGTAATAAATATGATTATCGAATATATTATAAAAATTATTTTTATAAGAAAGGTAGCAATTTACAAGGTTCCTGCAAAGCCACGCATGAAAAGTGTGGTCTATAAGGTACCAAAGGCTACACTTTGAAAGTGTTGTTGTAGGAGTTAAAAAGCGTTGCTATAAGGGTATGTATAAGCGTGGCTTATGTATCGTATAGGCCACACTTTTGAAGCGTAGCTTCTAAAGCAACACTCGGAAAGCGTGACCTTAGGGAAAAGGTTACACTCGTTTAGGCCACCCCTGAAATGTATTGCCTAAAGTTGAAAAGTATGGCCTTTAATTAAATGTTACACTTTTTGATAGTTTAAGCCACACATTTCAAGGGTGGTTAAAGGTCTACAATGTTGTAGTGACAGTTTCTTCAGTCGCATATCACATATGTGTTCTACTCTTCATCTATATAGATTTTATTTTTCCTTAACAGCATTTATGCATGATAGGCATGCATATCTATATACTGAAGTAGAAGAGCATTTGGATTCATATACTTAACAATTCGTAGATGTAGAAAGATGGGATTATTCATTGCATTTGGCAGTTGAATTACTGGATATTTGTAGGCATGGTCCTAAATAGGTACCCAATATATATATATATATATATATATATATANGTGTTTAAAATTTGTAAATCAAAAGAACACAGTTTCTTCTGTCTCATATCACATATGTGTTCTGTTCTTCATCTATATAGATTTTATTTTTCCTTAACACCATTTATGCATGATAGGCATGCATATCTATATACTGAAGTAGAAGAGCATTTAGATTCATATACTTAACAATTCGTAGATGTAGAAAGATGGGATTATTCATTGCATTTGGCAGTTGAATTGCTGGATATTTGTAGGCATGGTCCTAAATAGGTACCCAATATATATATATATATATATATATATATGTGTGTGTGTGTTTATCCGAAAGAATGGATAAAAATTGAATTTATACGCGGCTTTAAGAATATGTGATATAACTTGATACAAACCGAAAAAATGTATATATATATATATATATATATATATATCAGCACTATAATTAACTACAAAAGAAATAAATGCAAACCAAATAAATCAGTTAGCTTTTGCCCTTTAATTAACTACAATAGATTAATTAATTAGCCTCTCCTTGATATATGTCAGGATTTCTGCCGAGATTCTCTCCCAAATTACGGATATACCATTTTTTTTGTTTTCTGGTTCGGTTTCGATCTTGACCTATTATGCACTTGATCAGTCTCTATTTTACTCAGTCTCAATCTTCGCCGATCTCGATCTGTCTCTATTTTGCTCGGTCTCAATCTTGACCGATCTTGATCTTGGTCGGTCTTTGAGTTACGAGCTTGGCAACCTAACTTCGCATCATAGCTCAATATTACACGAAGTTGAACTTTAATCTATCATGTTCCAGTCTCGATTAGTCATATGAAAGGCAAACTCGGTTTTGACCGTATACAGATAGTCCCCTCATTTCTAGAAAAGATGGCGAGAAACGATATAAACTTCCAAACTCCAACTTGATGGGTAATGACGTCAGCGACGAGCCCGATTATGACGTATGCGATGAAACGTCCCATCGGTTCAGTTATCAAGGTATTAATTACCTGTCAGTTGTTGGTCGACCATTATTGATTCCGAACCGTCGCCAACCACCTATAATAGCCCAATCTTTTTTTCATTCAAACTTTACACTCAAAGCTTTTTCTTTATTCTTGCATCTTCCTCAGAAGAACCCTTTGCTACATAATTTTTAGACCCAAATTTCTAGAACCCCAATTATACCGCATATCATCCTAATTCTCTCTTTTCTTGTTCATCAATGGCGAAAACCTCCAAAATAGGGCCGCAAAAGGAAACTGTTTCTTCATTGCGACCTGTCGTCGGTGAGGATACGACGGAGCCCCACCCTGAGGAATCCATTCCTGTAGGGTGCTCCATCATCATTGACTTTAAGCTCGAAAAAGCCTCCTCAGTACCGGGCCGATGTGAGCCGATCTCGAGGTACATGTGTTCCATCACCGAGAAAATCCTCGACAAAGTAAAAAAGGAATGCAACTGGGGCGAAAAGCATGTGGTAATCCTATCGCCTGCAGAATCAATTACTACCCACATGGAGGGGTTCTTAAGTGTTTACACTTACCCCTTTACGTTGGGTCCTTTAGACCCTGTCATCGTCGCTTTCTGCAAGAGATATGACGTGACCCTTGGAAAGATCCACCCTTCTTTTTGGAGAATAGTGATTCTCCTCTGATTCTTCTCGAGTAAAATCGAGGGGTGTCCTTTTACCCTCGATCACCTTATGTGTTTTTATAGTCCCCGACTTTATCGAGGGGGGATAATCAAGCTTGCCCGCCGATCCTCCAAAGCCCCATTCTCGAGCATAGATGAGACCCGTGACCGAGGTTGGATGGGCCGATTTGTTCGAATCAAGACTTCGAACCTAGTCCCTGCCGAAGACATGTCGTTTCCTGAAAAATGGAATATGAATCGTGAGTAATATTCCCCTTTGAATGTTCAATTTTGTGGCTTCTGTTTTTCATTTTCTTTATCCACTTTTTCTATGTTGTTACAGCTGTGGCCCAGATGTCGGAACCGATTACGGAACTTAAACAATGGTTTGAAGGTCTGGTGTTGCAGAGACCATACTCCGAGCGTGCTTGGATGGAATTGTCAAAGGGTCGATGTGAGGCCCGCAATCATGGTAAGTTTCTTTCTTAGAACAGTTATCATTTGATCTTTTTCTTTGGCTTATCTCCCTTTTCCCCCTTTGTAGGCCTCGGGAAGGACGTTGCCATGAGGCCCCGAGTTCTCCGGTCTAAGAAAAGAAAAAAATTGGCGAGGAAGTCTTGCAAGCCCAAGGAGGGCTCCGGTATTATGCCTTAGGACTTGATCTGCCGATTAAGGGACGAGCCCGAAGAAGGAGAAGATGAAGTAGCATGTGTTCGGATTAATGTTTTTTTCACGACCCAAAATACGCATGTCGTGATGGCGCCTATATCAATAAGCCACAATTTCTTTTAAGTTTGAAGAGATAATATATACATTTAATTGAAAAATCCCACATACTGATGTAAAATATACTCCTAAAACCCGGTGTCCCTGGGTATATGAGCATCTAATATGAATACAAAGTCTGACTGACAAAAACACTGTTTGAAAGTATAGAACAATACAATAATTGAAAGAAAGAGAGCCAAGGTCAGCGGACTCCAAGTAGCTACCTTGATAGTCTCCAACTGATAACACGTTGAGATCTAACAGTTGCCGTATCCGGGAGCACCCAGATTTGCACACGAGGTGCAAAGTGTAGTATGAGTACAACCAACTCAATAAGTAACAAGACTAACCTTTGGGCTGAAAGTAGTGACGAGCTCAGCAGGTACGGTCCAGTATAAAAATAACAATACATAAATGTAGGTACGCTTTCAAGTTCAACAGTTACTTTCAGTACAAATAAAACATATCAATTCTGAACAATACGAGAAATATGACATCTCTGTATCTACATGTCAATGTACATACTGTATGTGATGCACCTTAGTGAAAACTCTGTGTACTCACAAATTTAAATAATTAATCACTCAGTACTGTATATGGCCAATCCAACCCAAGGAAGGTCCATCCCAATTATATATATGTATATCCATCAATTGACAGTCAGTCACTCAGTATAGTATACGACCAATCCAGCTCAGGGGAAGATCCATCCCCGAATATCAATGATTCAGACAAGATTCATGTCCAGGGAAAATGCATCCCTCAATATAAATGCTTCGGGGAAGATTCATCCCTCAATATATATCTATGGCAAGATCCATCCCAAATATATATATCAACTAAGCTCAATGTGGGGGTGCAGACTCTGGAGGGGCTCCTTTAGCCCAAGCGCTATAATAGCCAGATCCAGGCATAAATAAATAAACATAACTATCATTCAGAATCTCCAGTCTCTCGGACTCTCAATGATATAAAAAATCAAACCGACATGATGATATGAAGTATCAATGAATGACAACAGAGACTGAGATATGATATGCAAGTGATAGATGTGACTGAGTACAAAATTATAAATTTAAACAATTAATTCAACAACTATTCGACCCATGTGGGTCCCAAAATATATAGGCGTGTAGCCTAAACATGATCTTTAACATAAGTCTCAGCTCAATTTCTCTAACACGTGGAGGATATGAGGATAATGGCATTTATTTAATTATGCAATCTCCATGGAATCAATTTAAGTCACAATTTCCATGATGCACGCCCACACGCCCGTCATCTAGCATGTGCATCATCTCCAATACAATTCATACCACATGTAATTTAGGGAATTATACCCTCAAAACCAAGATTAGAAGTGTTATTTATCTCAAGCCGCATAATTTCTTACTTCGCTATGCCCTTGCCTTCCGAACTGGTCTCCGAAAATCTCGTATCTAGCCACAATTAATTTGATTCAGTCAATACAAATTATTGGAATTAATTTCATAAGAAAATACTAATTTTCCAATAAAATCCAAAATTTAACTCAAATATTGCCCATGGGACCCACATCTCGGAACCCGACAAAAGTTACAAAATCCGAAAGTCCATTCAACCACGAGTCCAACCATACCAATTTTACTAAATTCTGATATCAACTTGACCTTCAAATCTGTCACGACCCAAATTCTCCCTCCGTGAATCGTCGTGACGACACCTAGTCTCTACGACTAGGTAAGCTTAACACTTGCGTAAATGAAATGAAAAACATGAAAATTAACAACTAACAGTAACATATATTTTAATACGCAATTGAGATGCCGCTCGGCCTATACAATAATCAACTCTCGAAATATACAAAACACTCCCAAGACCTAGAACACCGTAAGTCACAAGCTTCTACGGAGTTTTAACTGTTCTATACATCAGTGTCTATAGAAATAAGAGAAGAATCAACATAGGGGGATAGAGGGGGACTCCGAGGATCTGCGGGCGCATGCATATGTACCTTGAAGTTCTTCGAAAACAGCAACGAATGCAACTAAGGACGAGGCTGGTAAGAAGAACCTGGATCTGTACACGAAAAACATGTGCAGGAAAGGGCGTGAGTACACCACAGCGGTACCCAGTAAGTGCCAAGCCTAATCTTGTCCGAGTAGTGACGAGGTCGGGTCAAGGCCCTACTGGTATATAATAAATAAGCAGGAGAGTATTACAATATAATAAGAGATTGAATTTAAACAAAGAGAACACAACGAAGTAGCAATGCAGAACACATGGATAAACAACAGGGGATCTCCCGAGATACCGTCTCGTAGTCCCAAAATAAAAGTGCAAGGAGATCTCCCGAGGAATCGCCTCGTAGTCTCAAAAGTAAATATGCAGAGAGAACTCCCGAGGAACCGCCTCGTAGTTTCAATAGTAAATGTGCAGGGAGAACTCCCTAGGAATCGCCTTGTAGTCTCAAAAGTAATTGTACATGGGGGATCTCCCGGGACACTGTCCCGTAGTCCCAAAATAAATACGCAACTCAAACAAATGAATATAACAGTTACAACAAGAAATCTACAATTTAGACTAAGTACAAGTCAAGAAAGAAGCATGACTTACTAAACATGTTGCAAAGAATTCAAATAGGCAATTAGGACACGTAGACATGCTATTCTAGGCTAACAGGATAACTACACATGCTAGTATACTCAGATAAGATGAAAACAAGCGATTACTCAGTAAAAACAAGTCAGGTTTTTCCATAAATAGCCCGTGTATGCGCTCGTCACCTCGCGTACACGGCGCTCACATATCATAACAACACCAAATCCTAAGGGGATTTCCACCACACAAGGTTAGACAAGCCACTTACCTTGAACCAAGCTCAATCAATCGGTAAGAATGCATTTTCCACGAATATCCGACTCCGAATGGCCCAAATCTAGCAAAAATCAAATTCATACCATAAATACAATTATAAGAAACTAATCTAATTAATGAAATCAAAGCTAAAGCAAGAAATTAGAAAATCGCCCCAAAAGGTCTCCCCTGGACCACGTCTCAGAGTCGGGTAAAAGTCACAAAATATGAACATTCATTCACTCACGAGTCTAACCATACAAGAATTACTCGAATCTGACCTCGAATCACCTTCTAAAACTCGAAATTTTAGTCTATGAAGTTTCTACCATTTCCTCCCAAATTTCCAACTCAAATCCCTAATTAGATGATGAAAATAGCAATAGCTCCATGAAATATAGTCCAATCCGAGTTAGAACCACTTACCCTAACAATCTCCTTGAAGAAATCTCGAAGAATCGCCTCACACCGAGCTCTTATACTTCAAAAATCGAAATAGGAATCAACCCTCAAATTCCTATTTTCTGCACAGTAAACTCGCCTGTGTAAGCCTGTAGTATCGCACCAGCGGAAAATCCATCGTAGGTGCGAAAATCACTAAAGGGGGTTGGGACCGCATCTGCGGCAAGGGGGCCGCATCTGCGTGTGTGCGCCTGCGGAGCACTGTCTGCTTCTGCGTCAGTCATCGCGCCTGCGGTTCCTATAACACATCTGCGGGCATCGCAGATGCGAAAATTCCCCCGCACCTGCGATCCCTGGCCACGCCTCCAATCTCGGCTTTTGCGCTTTGTGCGTCGCACGTGTGATCCCACACCTGTGGTCTCCTCGCCGCAGGTGCGAAAACACCAGATGCCTGAAGACTTCAGCAACAACACAAATCCAACTTTTGATACGTTAAGTACCCAAAACTCACCCGAGGCCCTTGAGACCTCAACCAAACATACCAACAAATCCTAAAACACCATATGAACATAGTCGATCCCTCAAACAGCGCTAAAATCACGAATCATCCTCCGATTCAAACTTAAAGAACTTGAAACTTCCAAATTCGACAGCCTATGACGAAACCAACCAAACCACGTCCGATCGACCCCAAGTTTTGCACACAGGTCATATTCGACGATACGGACCTATTCCAACTTCCGGAATTGGAATCTGACCCCGATATCAAAAAGTCCACTACCAATCAAAATCTCTAAAACTTCGACTTTTGCCATTTCAAGCCTAAATGAGCTACAGACCTCCAAAATACTATCCGGACACTCCCCTAAATCCAAAACAACCTAACGGAACCGACGAAGCTCCATTCCAGAATCATCTTCACACAGTTCCGACTATGGTCCAAATCCTAAGGCTTAAACCTCCATTTAGGGACTAAGTGTCCCAAAACACTCCAAAAACCAAAACAAAACCTCCCAGCAAGTCACAATAGCAGAAATAGATATTGGAGAAGCAGTTAATAGGGGATCAAGGCTATAACTCTCAAAACGACCGGCCGGGTCGTTACATCTTTCCCCTCTTTAAACAATCGTTCGTCCTCGAATGAGCATAAAGACATACCTGAAGTGGTGAAAAGATGAGGATAACGGCTGCACATATCATGTTCGGTCTCCCAAGTCGCCTCCTCGACCGACTGACCCCTCCACTGAACCTTCACAGAAGTAATGTTCTTTGACCTCAGCTTTCGAACCTGCCTGTCCAAAATAGCCACTGGCTACTCGTCATAAGATAGATCCTTGTCCAACTGGACTGAGCTAAAATCCAACACATGAGCTGGATCGCCGTGATACTTCCGGAGCATAGAAACATGAAATATTGGAGGGACCTCTGCAAGACTTGGAGGCAAGGCAAGCTCATAAGCAACCTCCCCAACGCGTCGCAACACCTCATATGGGCCGATAAACCGTGGGCTCAGCTTGACCTTCTTCCCGAACCTCATAACGCCCTTCATAGGCGAAACCCAGAGCAAGACTCGCTCTCCAACCATGAATGCAACATCACGAACCTTCCGATCCGCATAACTCTCCTCTCTAGACTGGGATGTGCGAAGTCGATCCTGAATCACCTTCACCTTACCTAGGGTATCCTGAACTAAGTCTGTACCCAATAATCTCGCCTCGCCTGACTCGAACCAACCCAATGGAGACCAACACCGCCTACCATACAGAGCCTCATATGGTGCCATTTGAATGCTCGACTGATAACTGTTGTTGTAGGAAAACTCCGCAAGTGGCAAAAACTGATCCCAACCACCCCCAAAATCAATCACACAAGTGCGGAGCATATCCTCCAGTAACTGA